TAACGTGTAATACGTACTACGGAATGACGTAACAGGAAATAAACAAGAAGCATGGAGTTCACAAGCAACCTGCGTGTCGTCTGATTTGTTTAAGTAAAACAAACGACAATACATGGTGTCAGAAGTTGTAAGTGCATCGAAAGAAGAATGGCACAGTTACAGCCACCATCGAACCTATGTCTACAAGGAAATCTTTCAGAAAATTGGAAGATTTGGATACAAAAATTCGACTTGTTCCTGACGGCTAGTGGCATCGCGGAAAAAACTGAAAAAGTGCAGTGTGCCACATTTCTACATGTCGCGGGTGAGGAGGCAATTCAAGTTTTCAATACGTTTGAATTTACTGAAGAAGACAGGGACAAAATCAACCCTCTCAAGCAAAAGTTCAAAAACTATTGTGAACCAAGAAAAAACCTACCTTACATTCGTCACATATTCTTCACGAGGGCTCAAGGACCGTCAGAGAATATCGATTCCTACGTCACTGATCTAAAGAACAAAGCAAAAGACTGTGAGTTTGCAGAATTGCATGATTCTTTAATAAGAGATAGAATTGTGTGCGGCATAAAAGATGACACATTGAGAGCCAGATTGTTAAGAGAAGCAGATCTCACATTAGCAAAAGCTGTGGACATTTGTCGAGCGAATGAAATCACGTCCAGTCAGGTGAAAGCACTAAACGAAGAAGTTGACATGCATAAAATTAAGGCTGTAAAAATGAAACAAAAGAGTCATTGGATGCCAAAAGAAGTGCAACGTGACTTGAGTGACGACACAAAATGCAGTCGATGCGGTTACAAGCATGAGCAGAGAAAATGTCCCGCCTATGGTCAAACGTGCAGGATATGCAGTAAAAAAAATCACTTCGCAAAAATGTGCAAAATGGAGCGTAAACAGCCAAGAAAGATGCACACGCTTGAACAGACAGAGGAAGATGACAAACATATGTTCCTGGGCACAGTGGACGTTCAAAGAGAAAATGAGAAAAGTATTCAAGCTGTTACCACAGAAACACGAGAAGAAAAGGAAAAGTGGTCTGAATTGCTAAAGATAAGAGACAAGAAAGTTAAATTTAAGTTGGACACTGGTGCAGAATGTAATGTGCTCTCGTTAAAAACGTACAATTCGCTGGGTATAACAGAAAAGCTGAGTAAATCTACCTGCAAGTTACTTACATACTCTGGACACCAGATGTCGCCAGTGGGACAGAATCAGTTAACATGTGAGTACAAAGGTCAGAAGCACATTATACAGTTCCAGATTGTTGAAAGAGATGCTCCTGCAATTCTAGGAAGATCAACATGTCAATCATTAGGCTTGATACAAAGGATACATGAAGTGTCTGTTGAAAATGATGACATAATGAAAAATTATGAAGATCTGTTCAGTGGTCTAGGATGCATGCCAGGATATCATCACATCCAAATTGATTCATCAGTAAAACCAGTTGTACATGCTCCACGGAAAGTTCCTGTCGCACTGAAGGAAAGAATAATTAAAGAATTGCACAAGATGGAAGAAATGAACGTCATTGCAAGACAAACAGATCCGACTGACTGGGTGAGTAGCATGGTGACAATTGTCAAGCCAGACAAAATTCGAATATGTCTCGACCCTCAAGATTTGAACAAGGCAATCAAACGTGAACACTACCCACTACTCACAGTAGAAGAGGTCGTATCTAACATGCCAAATGCTAAAGTGTTTTCTGTGCTGGATGCTAACCAAGGATTCTGGCAGATTAAATTGGACGATGACAGTTCCAAGTTGTGCACGTTCAACACTCCTATAGGAAGATACAGATTCCTACGTTTGCCATTTGGGATATCGTCGGCATCTGAAGTATTCCAAAGAGCTGTAGCACAGATGATTGAAGACCTGGATGGTGTGATAAACATCGTGGATGATTTGCTGGTCTGGGGTGAGACAGTACAAGAGCATGATGCCAGACTGAGAAAACTGCTCCAGAGGGCAAGAGAGTACAACCTCAAACTAAACAAAAAGAAATGTCAAATCAGAACATCACAAATCAAGTACATTGGTCATGTACTGACAGCAGACGGACTGAAACCAGACGAAGAGAAGGTGAGAGCTGTAGTTCAGCTACCTACACCAGAAGACAAGCAAGATCTTCAAAGATTTCTGGGTATGCTGCAGTATCTCGCCAAGTTTATTCCCAACTTGTCAGAAGTAAGTGCTCCGCTCAGACAACTGCTGGAGAATGATGTTGAATGGTTCTGGGGAAGCGAACAAGAGAAAAGTTTTCAGAAACTGAAAGCTCTAGCAACAAATGGACCAACGTTGAAATACTATGATGTAAACAAACCGTTAACATTGTCAGTTGATGCCAGCTCTGAAGGCATGGGTGCGGTTTTGTTACAAGATCAGAGACCAGTTGCATATGGATCAAGAGCGCTCACAGATTGTCAACGTCGCTATGCACAAATTGAGAAGGAACTGCTAGCGATAGTATATGGATGTGAAAAATTCCATCAATATGTATATGGCAGAGAAGTTCAAGTAGAAAGCGACCACAAGCCACTGGAGTGCATCTTCAAAAAACCTCTACATCAAACTCCATTGAGACTACAAAGAATGTTACTCAGACTTCAAAGGTACAATCTAAAAGTCAAGTACAAGCCTGGTAAAGAAATGCACATAGCAGATGCATTGAGTCGCGCTTACCTTGATGAATGCGACGAAGAACTGCTTGAAGAGGAGTTAGAGGTAAATGTAATCACAACTCAGCTGCCTGTGACAGAAAAGAAACTGCAAGAGTTCAGAAAAGAAACAGCTGAAGATCCTGAAATGCAGAAACTGAAAGAATACAGCATAAAAGGATGGCCGACAGTAAAAAAGACTGTACACAAAGACGTACAGAAGTATTGGACACACAGTCGAGTGAAGGGATTTGTGGAAACTGAAATGGAAGCACACATCTTACCTAATTCAGACTAAAGCACATCTATTTATCCTCACATACTGACTTTATTTGTAGTTCATACTGTTTTAATACCCTGTATTTTCTTTCTCATTTTTAGGAAAAGCACTTAATTACCATTGTTTATTTCTATACCAAATGTCATACACTTGCAATGAAGCTAAAAATATAAACAACTACATCATTATGTTAATATCCTATATTTTTACCATAAAACTTACGACAAACATGTCTCCTAATATCCTCAGTTGTTACGTATAGGCCTACCGAGCTGCATCGAACACATGTGTAAATAACTTTTCTTGAACCCATTGTGCGAGTTCACTTTAATACAGCGTGCGTTATATATGTTGCTGCTGATTAGACTGCAGTTCTGACACACCCACCAAACAAGAGAAAACGCATCTCAAACCCCGTTGCACACCGGTGCACGCCGTTTCCAGGAAACATGACGTTCAACCCGGAAACCGTAGCAAAACGTTGCGCGCCGTTTTGAACTTGAAAAGTTCAATCCCCAGAAGAGCGATTCGAGAGCAGCCGACTGGTTTATTCAGCTTCTCAAGAGCGGCTGCACAAGCTCTGATGACGACACAACCGTTCCACGATCGGCCGGATTCACAGCGTGAATGACGATCACGATCACGTGTTTCATGTTTATTCTCACAATTTCAGTTCCACTAATGCTCACAAATCAGCATTTTTATAACAAGTAAAATCTCTTTTCATGTATTCGCGCTATTATATTATGTCATGTTTATCAAAATAAAACGGATACAAAAAACGTATTTAAAAATTATAGGCTTATGTTGAACTTTATTCTTGTACAAACAGACGCTGTATTAAGCATAAAGTATTAAATGGAAACGTATCTGAAAAGTCTGTGTATTTGACAAATATTGCACTTATTATTTCACTTCAGCTGTGGGAAATATCAAACACAGTGCAAGCGTCACTGGAAGCAGAAAGTGTCCGACTTCACGTCTCCGTTGTTTGAGCTCCTCCCCGACTGCATCCAGCCGCAGCCGATGTCGAACACGCCTGCTGGCTGTGGAAACTTAGGTAGCTGACTTGTTGCCTCGCTGCCCTATAAGGCAATGACTTTGTGGGCAGCGTTTGCGCATGAAGGAACCTCACAAAACGTAGCGCATGGATTAATGATCTACATAAAAATAGAGCGACCTTTGGTGAAAACTAGGTGAATATTTAATTACTAATTACTACAATAGGAATTTCTCGCTATAAAGGACATCAGAAGTGAAAACGTTGGTTAAAAATGTACATTTCCACACAAACTGTCCACCAACCGCAACTTTCAGACGCCATCTTTATTTTTTTAGCTCAACTGTCACAGAATGGAAAGCACAGGATTGTGGGATATCAAAGGCAGTGAAGGATACATCTATGCGGTCTTCAAAACTTGATCAGATGAAGGTATCTCAGGAGACAGGAAGTGAAGCTAACATTGGATTCGGACGTGCCTTGATGCCTTCATACCTTGATATTGCTCCGAATGTAGCATTTATCAGCTATCGGACACAGCTGCTGATGTTGTCACTATAGTATTGCTCTTCTTCTACTTCACTTTCCTCGCTTTTTAATCTTCACTATCGCCACCTAGTGATAAGGCATACAGATAGTATAACTTCAGCTGCGTCTCATTTCGGAGTCTGCGTCATCTGGAGGTCACATTTGAAGGCTGCATAAGTCATCAAGGATGTCTTATTTAAGAAAAGTAACTGTAATAAAGTTGACTGTTTTTCCTTGTGAGGTGTATATTAGGCCAGAGTCTATTAGGGGCAGTCAGAGACCACTTTTCATGCATTTCCAATCATGGATAAAATAAAGTCCCGCTTTATGTTTTCTCATTGAATATCCTTTTTTACTTTTGAATACATCACTTTACAGAAGTTAAATGTGAATACTGTTTTATGTGGACTTTAAAACTACTTAATATTCTATATGCAGTCCCTATTCTTGCGCTGAATGCATCAGTTCGGAAGTTAGCAGTCTAAAAATCCATTGGAAAAGTTTCACAGTACTTGTTTTTATATTGATCTCAGGAATGTTCAAATGTCAGCCGACCAGGAAGCACAAACAGATGAACTGCTGGCGCTAGAGAGCATATATGATGAAGAGGAGTTTCACAGGACAGAATCAAGAAAGAGGGGCAAGATCAATCTGTGCCTTGAGCTTCCTCCTAACTTCAGACTGCTAGTCAAGGGTAAGATTTCATACAAGATTTGCTTACAAATAAATAAATAAGTTAAAACGTACTGTTATTTTGAAAAATATTGTATTTTAAACTATTATAGACTATTAAACCATGATAATAAACATGATACCAAGGCAAAAAAATACAAAATAAAACATGTTTAAACAGCAGTTCCCATACTCAACAATTATGCCTTAACACACACAATTAAGTCACATTTTGTCGTCTTTGCATTCAAACTGTACCAAAACTTAAAAGTGGTACGATTTTTTTCTTGCACCTGCAAGTTTATATCTCACAATTCTGACTTTTTAAAAATGCAATTGCGGGAAAAAAGTCGACGGTGTGAGATAAAAAGTCAAACATTTTTTATTAAGTATATTTATTTGATTATATATATCACAATTTTGATTTTAATTCAAATAACTTTGGAGCTCTATTGCATGTGTTCCCCAAAGTCTTTATAAGGTGATGTTTGTGCATATTTTTCATAGGGGAGGCATGCGTAGAGTGTGCAATATCCTTTCTACCCCCTTTGGTTCTGAGTTTTGAGCTTCCTACAGACTACCCTTCATCATTGGCTCCAGTCTTCACTTTAAGCTCCAAATGGCTTTCAAGAGTTCAGGTTTGTATTTTTAGCATTGATCTGAGCTTGTGTAATTAAATAACATTAAATAGTTTTGTATTTTTATTTATATAATTATTTGGTCTTTTATTGTTGGGCATGATATTGGCATAATGAAAATGGCATAACCATTAAGATAATCTCTGCTCAATTAATAAGTTATTTAATGTCTGAAAGATCACTGCACTTTGCAAGAGACTGGATGAACTTTGGGAAGAGAACAGGGGAACTGTGGTTCTTTTTACCTGGATCCAGTTTCTAAAGGAAGAAACTCTGGAATTTCTGAACCTCCAATCTCCCCTCGAGATCCAAACCATTGGTGGGCAGCCTCACTATGAATCTGGTCAGAACCAGTCAGACACTGCTGTAGAAAAGAGCAAAGTGCAAGAGTTGGACCAACGAGCAGTCCAAGAAGTTGACCCTCACACAGATATACTAACCCAGCTGTTGGATTTTAATGAAGCTCAGAAACAGAAGGTGTTTGATAGCAAGGCTTTTTGCTGTGGAATCTGCTTCTCTGAGAATCTGGGTTCCAACTCTTTGCTCTTCAAGGAGTGTCAGCATGTTTACTGCAAGGCATGTGTGAAGGAATACTTTCAGATCCAGATTAGAGATGGCAAAGTCCAGTGCCTTACCTGTCCTGAGCCCGAGTGTATGTCCTTGGCCTCTCCTGCACAGGTACTTTTTTTGCGTGTTTGTGCCTGAGTATGAGCTATGAATAGGTTTTGACTATTAAGCACTTTAGCTGGGAAACTAATGCCTCTGTGCTGCTATTATACTGTAGGTGAAACTTTTGGTGGGCGAAGATGAATATGCCCGCTATGACCGCCTCCTTCTGCAGTCGAGTCTGAACCTAATGGCAGATGTTGTTTATTGTCCACGCATGAGTTGCTGTATGGCTGTGATGATCGAGCCTGACGCCAACATGGGCATCTGCCCCTCTTGCCGATTCGTCTTCTGCACCCTCTGCAAGCGAACATACCATGGCCTCTCTCTCTGCAAAGAAGGTAAGATCACAGTGGAGTGGTAATGTTCATAAACACAAGTAGAGTTAGGTCAATCAATTTTATTTGAATAGCGACTCACATTTGTGCATTTAGTAGATACTCTTATCCAAAGCAACAATAGATGTAGGAATTTGTCACAGAGACAACAATATTCAGAGTATACAACCGCAAGATTGTTAGAAAGCTAGATTAGGCAACCAGCTAAAACAGATGTGAAATGCAGAAAAGAAAGAAGAATTGTTTTTGTCTATAATTAATTAGTGTCGGGGAAAGTTACTTTTAAAAGTAATGCATTACCAAAAAAGTAACTAATTGCGTTTCTTAGTTACTTTTATGGAAAGTAATGTGTTACATACTTTTGCGTTACTTTTCTCACTTGGGCTGGGCTTGCTTGTTTGTTTTTTAATAATAATAGAAATTGCCCATTCACACCAAGAGGGAAAAGTTCTGAAGGAAATGCAAAATCACACCTGTACAGTTGAGGGCGCAGCTCAAACAAATGTTCCAGCTGTGCTTTCATTCTAGAAAATGATGCAGGAGAAGAAATTCCAACACTGTTACTTCAGCAATAAAAACTAAAAAATTAAACACAAATGTGATGTTTATATAAAGTAATTTTTGCTTATTAGTATGGTTGAATTGGATCATCGAAGGTCAGCAGCAAAGACATTGGATAATACATTTATAGTAGGGAACAGAGTCGTTACGTCGTGACGACGAAATGGGGTTTTGCTTAGAAAGCCTATCAACTTCGAGTATTACAAAACGAGCCAATGGCAAAGAAATGCCATGGGTCTGCGGATTTTGCATAGCGTGACTCCGCCCCACCTCGTGGGTAAATAAGGAAGTACGCTGGCAATATGCAGTTACATGCTGAGGAGCCGAGACTGAATTCAGGCTGTTCCAGCGGTACATCGAAAGTGGCAGGGAGATGTAACGTCTCCGTTCCCTACTCAGGGAACTAGGGTTACATCTGTAACCGAGACGTTCCCTTTCGTTCCCTTCACGTTGTGATGACGAAATGGGGTTCCCAGTCTAATCACGCCACTCGGCTGACTTCCAGTGCCCTGCGTAAGTCTGAGCTCCCTGTCGTGAGACTAGCACGGACGAAGGAATCCTACTTAACACAGGAATACCAAGGTACACATGGAAGCATAGGAAATATGCAATTATTGCCTGCCCGCAGGGGGGAATGTTTCAACCCCAGGGGTGGCAAGGTGGCTTGCCAAGGGAAAGACACATGCTCAGAGAGGCTTACAGCGGAAATACACATGTGGGGGTCGCCCAGAGGAGGATAGGCGGTGGGCAAAGTAATCTTTGTCAGTGACCAGGAAGCTGCGTTCTTGAAATTACAATTTTGCTTTAATCATAATTTTTTTTTGATTAATGTAGTTCAGTAATACTGAGGTAAAAATGAGGTGTTTTATCCATTTAGCCTCAAATGAAAAAAACCGTGTAACCCCCTTTTCCCAGACAAGTTGGGCAAAGTTTGTTCAATGTACACATTTATGGGTGAACCTGCAAACCACAGAGAGTACAGTAGCTGAAAAAGCCATATTGGCATTTAACTTAAATTCCGAAGACGTCCAAGATGTGCCGGCTAATGTGGGATTTCACAGAGAATGTTACATCCTCTTCTTATGTGTTCTTTGTTGGTGAAGAGCATGTAACATTCTCTGTGAAATCCAACATTAGCCGTCACATCTTGGACCGAAGATAGAAGATAGAAAAGGCAGCGAACAACAGTGAAGGTTTGTATCAAATGTATCATTTTTATATAAAATAAATACAACAATGTCCAGACAGTAGTGTGAAAGAAGTTGTCCAGCTGGAAATCCGATGAAATTTGAGCAAGCGGTGGCTGTTCTCTGTAATTGATACCCCTGGCTGCGCCAGAAACGCCTCCTATTCCCACAACGTCACACAGCCAATCAGAATTAAGGTTTCTACCCCAATTTGGCTTATGGCCTGGACTTTGGGCTATTCCGACATATATTTAGAAAGCCGACCCTTGAGAGTATACATTTCAAGACTCAAAATTAACCTGACTGTTATTAATATTGAGATATATAAGCTCAAACATAGAAACAAAAACAACAAATATTAAGAATATATGTATTAAATGTATAAAAATATTATGTGAATTTAGTATTGCAACTTATAACCACAACTAAAACATGGGGATTTTTTAAAGACAATCATCCCGCACATCCTATTCAATATTCTATAAAAAAATCAACTAAACGAATATTCAAAAATCGTGACTCATCCCTAATTAATATAGTATTTCAGTGCAAGTGGATGACATGACAAGTAGCAAAAGGCAGTGCAATATGTGTGTAAGTGGGGTCAAATGTTCATAGCAAATTTAAAAAAAAAAAAAAATAAACCAATGTAGCAGCATCTAATGCCTCGTTTCCACTGAGCGGTACGGTACGGTACAGTTCGGTTCGGTACGCAATTATTTGCGTTTCCACTGTCAAAAGTTGTGAATGGTACCAAAAAGCCGAACCGTACCGTACCACTTTTTGGGTACCCTTCCGTTGGGGTACCTAGCACAGTGGTACGGTACTAAAAGGTGGAGCTAGACTCACTGCAGAACGGTGATTGGTTGACAGAGTATCGTCACTTGCGCGTGCTACAAGGGCATTAGAAGCATACAGTTAAAATATAATACTACTGTTATTGTGTCACGAAATGTAGTTTTAAGAGTTTTTCAGGCGAGAAAGTAGTTTTTTAAAGCTCAAATCTGTGGTTTATTTATAGATTTATGATCATTTGAAGATCCATTCCAAGCAATCACCCGGTGCTCGGCGCTCAAGTACCCCGCCTGGAGCAGCCTTTCCCCGGCTAGCCGTTCTGATGTTTGCCGCTGACTTAGACGTCTCTGTAGTGGTTAAACATGAGATATAGTGTAAACTACCAGTGTATTTGTGCAAGAGTCAATCAGCTGCCCTTAGGTTATTGGAGGGTGGGGGTGGAAGGAAGAGATTCCCCTATAGAAAGTTAAGAGGATGCATTTTTGGGAGATGAGCCTTCCTCAACTGTGGGAGGAAGTGCAGAGATTTTTGGACTTTCTTGGCCAGGTTCTGTTGGTGGTGTCGATAGATCAAGATGGGTCATCTGTGATGTGGATACTAAGCAACTCTGTGATCTTGACCTGCTCCATCATGGTGCTGTTGATGTGATGATTATCAACGATCACCTCTGTAGTCATTTGGTTGTGGAGAGATATGATGTTTTCCTGTCCGTGTCTGTGTGTTAGATCAGGGGTGGGGAACGTTGATCCTGGAGGGCCATTGTCCTGCAGAGTTTAGCTCCAACCCTAATTAAACGCACCTGAAGCTAATCAAGGTCTTCAGGATTGCTAAAGTTACAGGCAGGTGAGTGTTTTTTTCAGGGTTGGAGCTAAACTCTGCAGGACAATGGTCCTCCAGGATCAACGTTCTGTTTGATAAACAACTGAATTATATTCAGATAATAAAAAAAAAAAAACATTTTAAATCACATTTTTCATCTTGACATTTGTATTAAGATGCTAACCATCTTAAACGAGCTTGACAAGACTACTGCAGTTCTGACCACAAATAATTTTGTTAAATAGCTCAAAAACAGCCATCTTTAACTAAAATATTTTTAATATCATTTCTTTGTTTTGCTTTGCACTCTTTTTAGCTGATAATTAGTCTAGCTTACTTGTAGCCTAGGTAGCTTGCTGTAACCAAACCAACCTGGACATACCCATCAAATTATTTCCTGCTGTCTTCCCGTTTAAATATTTTCCAGTAATTATCCCGTATTTGAATACTCTTTGCTTAGTTCATTGTGTACCGAATGATTATTTTGGATTAGACTAAGCAACATACCTAGACCTAGCTTTACTGCTCCACTACCAACATTCTTTCGTGGCTACTGTTCTCATCAACGACAACGCAAATATTCACGACGAAGTATAGCTTGCAGTCTTAAATACAACTTATATGAAAAGCATTAAGATATAGGGGTTTATAATCATTGTAAAACAAATCTTACCTTGACGTTGTCTTGCCGAGACACACCGGTCTCTCCAGGTTGGGTTGTGGTAGACTCATGGATTTGGCTTCAGACTGACGCGAGTCACGCGATGCCGGTTCAACGAATAACGTGATTGGCCAAATCAATTCAACTAGGTAACAACACAAGCGTTGATTGGATCTCACTCCGGCCAACTTTTGTAATCAGCTAGCGAAATTAAATCTATTTTTATACTTTAATGTGCAACAATTGGCGTTGGAAACAATCGGTAATCTTTTTGTGAATTATTCATACAGACAAATAAAAAAAATGAGCCACACAGCTGCTGGGTAACTATCAAATCAAAAACTAAACGAGATAGACGGACTTGGCCCACCGCCTAGGAACCATGCACATAGCGGCACCTGGCCAACGCGAAAGCTGCCGGTGGCATAACTCTGGCGCTTGACGTCAACAGTGCTGGAGGAACTCAGGGCTTGTCGGGGAAGCTCACCAGAGGAAAATATTGCACGTATCCAGTCCGTGGAGTGGAATGGCGAGCAAGCGAAGACACATGAGCAGGTCCTAGTACCGGCTGGTTGAAGCGAGTACATGAGAGGACACTGGCTCCACTCGGAGATAGTAGAATCTGGCGAATGTGTTGGGTGTCGCCCAGCCTGCAGCTCTGCAGATGTCTGTTAGCGAGGCGCCATGCGCTAGAGCCCAAGTGAAAGCCACTCTCTGAGAGGAGTGGGCCTTCACACAAGGGGGCACGGTCGACCTTTCTGCTGGTATACCAAGCAATGGTGTCCACTAACCAGTGAGACAACCTCTGCTTGGAGAGAGTCTTTCCCTTCCGCTTCCCACCATAACAGACAAAGAGCTGGTCAGAGGTCCTGAAACACTGCGTTCTGTCTACGTAAGCACGGAGGGTGCGTACTGGACAGAGCAGTGCCAAGGCTGGGTCTGCCTCTTCCAGGGGCAGCGCTTGCAGGTTCACCACCTGATCTTGAAGGAGTGGTAGGAACCTTGGGCACGTATCGAGGCCGGGATCTCAGGATCAAGTGATAATAGGCCGGCCCGAATTCCAGGCACGCTTCGTCAACGGAAAATGTGTGCAGGTCCCCTACCCTCTTAATGGAGGCCAGTAAAACAGGTCGCAATGGGACGAGTCGTGGGAGATTTACTAAACAGGGCAAATTGCTGTGAGACCCCAATCCCATAAAAGCAGGATGGGAGTGGAAAGCTTTGCAGGTGATTTACACACAATGCACAAATACATTTTTGAACACAGAAGCAGCAGCTCATTTCCATTTAGACCAAAGCAATCTACCAAAAGCATTGTATCTATCGCAGTCATGTCAAGTGTAAAATTAGTTAAGACATGCTTTTTTGGCTTTAAATGACGGCGAAAATAAAAAAATACCATACATTTCGGGTCTGAAATTTAGCTACAAAAATAACTGCATCCACGCCTATTCATTGCTAATATTTCACTGCGTGCCTTTAGTAAATCCTGACAGTTTTTTTTTATGTCAAAAGAGTTTTGTGAAGCTGATATTGTGAAGCACAAACCTGTTTTGTTGAAATGTGAGTGGTAAAGCTCAGTTGGTCATCAAACACTACCCACAGGTTTCTTGCTGCCCAGGGTGCCATTAGTGTTGTAAAACACCACCTAAAGGGGTTTGCAGGTAGCCTGACTACGTCAGACTTCGTACTTCCGCTCAATTTCATTTCGCTTCTGTACTCAGTCTGAGACAGAGGGCGGGCTGAAAGCCGTGACGTAGACGCTAAGCGCAGAGTTTAAGATTAGGTCAGGGAAATCGAAAACGACCGCGGATATGGAGACGCGGATGCAATTCGCTCTGTTGTGGAGAATATTCCCGGCATTAGCAAACTGAAGCCCGAACAAGAGGAGTGTGTATTAAACATTTTGAATGGAGGTGATGTTGTGGCCCTACTCCCTTTGGGAAAAGTTTAATTTATCAACTATTACCGATCGTCAGCAAGAAACTGGGGAGCCTTTTGACAGGTCAGTGTCTCCTTTCTTTTCCAGGTCTTAAATATTGCCATGACATGCTGTAATCTTGCAATTAAGTTGCAGCATTTCCGACAGACTCGACATGAACTGAGCTGTGTTTAACAGAACTAATCCTAAAGGCCTGTTCACACCGGGACGAATTTCGCACGCGATATTCGCCGACGTTTAACGCCTCGTGACTAAACAAAGGGCGCCAATGTGAGTGTGCACACCGACGCGAAAAACGCCACGCGTAAAAGTGTCATTTTTTTTAAAACGCCTCGGGTTCGTTTTCTTGGTTTGATGCACACGTCAAAAACTCTCCGACCAATGGGATTGGCGCTTTTGCTCACGTGTCTGGAGCTTCTGAAGTTACAGTAAAACACAACTTGGGGGCGCTCAAACACAAAACGGTCTTGCTGAGCAAACATACGTAACGGCGAAGAAGATGCGCCAAGTACCATAGATATTCATACCATAGATATCCATAATAAAGGCTAGATGTCTCGTCCACGCTGCTGGCCAAATATGGCCTTTATTATGGATATCTATGGTCTACACTGCCGGGAAGAAATAAGACGAGGAAGATGCAAGGCAAGATGAATGTAGAGCTGCTGGTCTCGTTGGTGTCGGAACATAAAGAACTATGACAAACGCGACAGCAACTTCAAAATAGGACTATTTCTGTTTTACATTAAGCGCCATTTAATGTCAGGGAATGAATTTGCATGTTCACTCGGCTCAAAAACGCTGCCGAATAACGTGCGCCGATATTCGTCCCGGTGTGTACGAGCCTTAACTTTGACAGTTGGCTGCAAATATTTTTTGGTTTCTCTCTAATGTCAAATATCAGTTTAGAGGCCCTGATTGTACCGTGGATGCGTAGATTTACTTCACATAATCTGAAAAAGTCGTTCACAACCATGTTCACTCCCATGATTAGTTTTCGCATCATACATTTGTTTACAGTGGATGTTCGATGCGGCTGAGCTGGCGCATAACACACGTCATAACCAAACGTTATGTGATTGGCTTACGGGTAACCAATGATTTTATACTTCAGACAAGCCCCAACGCAATTACTTGCTGGGATTCACAATACACAAAAACACAAGCATCCTTACTGAAGTTTTTTAGCAGACTGTCATCATTAGACTGTAAAATATTATAACATTTTACAATATCTGTTCAATGCATATGTGATATTCATTCCTACATCGTTATTATGAATGTGATCTTGCTTTTATTGAACAGTTCGTTATTTTATTTAAAATAAATGTTAAAAAAAACGTTAATATTGAAAGACTGGGCAAAATAATTTTATAAATATATATACAGTATTGGTCTGTTCTTTTACAGCATGTTTATATATATATATATATATATATATATGAGACTTATTCTCCTTTGCTCAGTATAATAGGTCTGCATTTCTTCAACAGCTGAGCTTCGCAGGTTGAAGGATGAGTACCTTGCTGCCAGTGAAAAAGAAAAGGAACTACTTGAAAAGGAGATGGAACAACAGCTAATTCAAAGAGTAAAGGATGAGGCTTTAAGCGAAGACTGGGTGATGGATAACACTAAACTCTGTCCTTCCTGTCACGTTAACATACAGGTCAGCAACTACAAGCTCATGACCACAAACAGACGTTTCACTTTTGTGGTCCTAAAGGTGTGATCCTTTGAAAAATCGTAGAAAAATAATTATATTTTCTTTTCTCTTTTTTGACTGAGAAAAACAATATATACAGAAAAGGAATTCTTGGGGCCTCGTAGACGCGGCGTGCATGATTGGATTTGATCCTAAATTCCATCAATTTGTTAGTCTAAAAATACAGTAATCATTACTGCTTGAAATGTAGAAACAGCCATCAGTTATTGTAATCGGACACTTTCCAAAAACTGCATGTTTGTGCACCTTCATCCCTGACTTTTTTTTATTTGTATTTGTTTTTATAGAAAACAATGGGCTGTAACAAGATGACCTGCTCCTCTTGTTGGCAGTATTTCTGCTGGATCTGCCTTGCAGTTCTCGACAGAACGGACCCCTACAGCCACTTCAGAGACCCTAGCTCTCTGTGCCACGAAGCATAGTGGCTTTTGCCGATATGTTAAACTAAAAAAATATGGCAGATGTCACGACTTTTTTTAGTTTGGGTTTTGTTTGTGTTCAGGTCTTATTTTGTAGTTTCTCACAGACATGTTTCCTGGTTATGTCATGTGACTCCCCTGTTCCACATGTGATCTTGTAATGCGTTTCCTTTGCTCTAAGGTATCGGGTCCGATACTGTGACCGTGTGCTCGTACTCATTAAAATGCTCCGATACCAACATTTGCTTATGACAAAATAAACACAAAAAAAAACACAGACAATAGAGCAAAGAGAGAGCAGAGTGGATATATCAGAGAAGGATGTCAATGAAGTTAATGTATCGAATTAATAGAATGTTAAACAAATGAAATATTTATGCATATATAGCTGCCAGGTGCGAGCTGATAAGCAAAACACGGAGTGGATTGAGCGCGCAGCGGCACAGCTTGTCGAGCATATTAAATCTTGCCTAGCCTATTGAATCTTGTTCTCTTTCATGTCTTCATGTGCTTGAATGGACAAATTCACACAAAATTATGTCAAAATGCCCTTATAGGCAAGTCTCCTTGTGAAACATTTTGGTCATGTCTTAAGTGAACGTAAACAGTTGTAAACAGTTGAAAAGACACGTTTATGTTGGATGCGTGCAGCTCTTAAAGTGACAGCAGCCTAATAAACCTAATGCTGTCTTTGTCCTCAATATTAAACCAACAACAAAAGAGAGAGCAGCTCTAAATATTCACTGTGCTATTAAATTAAAGATAAAATATGATAGAGAAATAATATGAACAGTGAAAGTAACAGAAGCTCCTACAATACATTTTATCAGGCATAATTAGGCATGAAAATAACTGAAGGAAATATCTATTTGTTAATATCTAATAACTAATTTGATTCATATTCTTTTGGTTTCTCTTCCCAATTTTCTTTTTTAAATGAAAAATGCAATGAAAATACAGGTATCGGTACTCGGTCTCAGCAAGTACTAAAAGTAAAAGTATCGGATCGGACTCGTTCTGGAAAAACTGGTATCGGTGCATCCCTACTTTGCTATATGTGTTATGTTTTCATTGGTTTATTCCACTCATGTGTTTCTCTGTTCAGTTTAATCATTAGCTTATTGTTTGATTATTTCCAGGTGTTCCTTGTTATGTGATTAGTCCATGTATATTTAAGCCCTCTTGTTGTGTATTGTTAGGCCCCGTTCACACTGCAGGCAAAAGTGGCCCAAATCTGATTTTTTTGGGGGTCAAGTGACCAGGTCAGATTTCTTCAGAGGTAATGTGAACACTCAAATCTAGCCCAGATCTGATTTTTTCAAATCAGATTTAGACCACATACATATGTGGTCCTGAATCAGACCCATCTGATTTTTTTTCAATGCGGCCGCAGTGTGAACAATCAAGGCGGATTTGATGCGACTTTTACGTCAATCTACGTCGACATTTGTCACAATTATGCGCCGGCGAAGCCCTAGACACAACAGACACAGACAGTAGCCTAACATTAAAAACTTGACTAGATATGGAGAACAGTGATGAAGCGAGTCAATGAGAGTGAGGTGTTAGATCTAAGTAGTATATGGGGAGATACTTCAATTCAAGCTAGAAGGACCTACCGTAACCGCTCCGTTTTTGAAAAAATTGCACACGAAATGGAAGAACGGGGACACAGAAGAACAGCGTTTCACGTCATATTCCCACCACTCCTGGCTTCGTCTACGCATCCACACAGCTCACTTCCTCCATAACCTCCCGAACTTTAGTGCAACCGTGTGGTGCGTCTGATGTCATTGTTATTGTTCTTTTGCGCATGCCGGTTAGTTTGAAACCTCAAACAGTTCACATTGCAATCAGATATAGGTCACATTTTAAAAGGTAATGTGAACAGCCAATCAAAAAATCGGATCTGAGCAAAAAATCAGAATTGAGCATTAGGACTTGCGGCCACGTTCACACCGCAAGTCCTAATGCTCAATTCTGATTTTTTGCTCAGATCCGATTTTTTGATTGGCTGTTCACATTACCTTTTAAAATGTGACCTATATCTGATTGCAATGTGAACTGTTTGAGGTTTCAAACTAACCGGCATGCGCAAAAGAACAATAACAATGACATCAGACGCACCACACGGTTGCACTAAAGTTCGGGAGGTTATGGAGGAAGTGAGCTGTGTGGATGCGTAGACGAAGCCAGGAGTGGTGGGAATATGACGTGAAACGCTGTTCTTCTGTGTCCCCGTTCTTCCATTTCGTGTGCAATTTTTTCAAAAACCGAGCGGTTACGGTAGGTCCTTCTAGCTTGAATTGAAGTATCTCACCATATACTACTTAGATATAACACCTCACTCTCATTGACTCGCTTCATCACTGTTCTCCATATCTAGTCAAGTTTTTAATGTTAGGCTACTGTCTGTGTCTGTTGTGTCTAGGGCTTCGCCGGCGCATAATTGTGACAAATGTCGACGTAGATTGACGTAAAAGTCGCATCAAATCCGCCTTGATTGTTCACACTGCGGCCGCATTGAAAAAAATCAGATCTGGGTCTGATTCAGGACCACATATGTATGTGGTCTAAATCTGATTTGAAAAAATCAGATCTGGGCTAGATTTGAGTGTTCACACTACCTCTGAAGAAGTCTGACCTGGTCACTTGACCCAAAAAAAATCAGATTTGGGCCACTTTTGCCTGCAGTGTGACTCATGTTTCTTGGCCAAGTCAAGTCTTTGCTTGTGTTAGTGTTTGGATTGAATAAAACTGCATGTGTGTTCTTCAACTCGTCTACAGTGGACTGATTTGTGACAGTAGATATATCTGATTGATGAGCAATATATAATTTTTTTTCTCAAATCACTCATATGAACTGAAACTTTCCAATAGTGTTGAAGTTAATTAGAAAATTAAAAATAATGATTTAACCATGAGAACGTTTGTAACTAATACATAAAAATGGCTAAGCTTCATTGCTACTGACACGCTGATGACACAATGGTTTTTTTAATCTAATTTTCAAGTGCCATTGCATAGGTAACCTATCCATGTGCCGTCAAATGAACATTTATACTGTGTTTATATTTATTTTACCTTGCTCTAATGTATTTTTTTGCACATAATGATATTTCAAATTGTATTGGGTAAGAACAGAGCAACTTCTGGAAATCTACTACAGGCTATTCCTGCAAGATATTAATTTCCTGCTGCAGAAAAGCGCTCCATAATCAGCTCTGTTTGACCCTGGACTGAAATGTTCAACTCATGTATTATGGCCAAAAATTATGACAGCTAAAAAAAATATAACTAAAAGATATTACATTATATATTGACTATCACTTTTAATGCACAACTGAACTGATGTAGTTTTTTTTCTACAGAAAAGCTTACATTGGTAAATGTCACTGTTCTGGATTTGGGGTTATATTCATCAGCTTGTAACTGATCAGAGGCAAACATCTGTTGCCTGTCCACATTAGGGTTTTCCCTGTGTTGCCTGCCTGTCTTCTCTAGTTAATTTCCTTGGTGGTGAATTAGTTCCAGTTTCATCTTGATTACTCTCCCAATGTATTTAAGTTCATATGTATTCTCAGTTCATATGTCCAGTATCGTCTTTATTTAACGTGGTTGTGCTAATGTTTACTCCTATGATTTCCTGAGTGTTTCTTGTGGATTTATTAAAGACTGTTTTTGTTCTCTTCTCCTTTCATCGTGTGTGTTACTACAACAACCATTCCTGACAATGTCATTTTGCTGTTACAGTTACTCTAAAATGTTTGCCTATTCTCCATCAGTCTTATAGCAATAATAATTTAAAAAATGGTAACATAATTTACTTTAAAATTCCACAAACTTAGTTACACTTTCATTATTTTCTTATTTTGGTCACTTGTATTGCTTCTATTAGATATTACAATGAGTGCTGTTTTGTTTTCACAAGTACTTTTTTAAATATTAAAGGATGTTGTGAAGAACAAAGCATCGAGACTGAGAAACGCAATAAAGTTTTTGTTATTAATTATTATGCTGTATAATGTATACGTAAAGTATATGGGTAACACTTTACAATACGGGTGCACTAATACGCATTAATTCATGTTTAACTAATGCACAGATAATCATGAGTTAATGTATGACTCATGGAGAACTAAACCATTAATTAATGATTACTGCATCAGCAACTAATAAAGAGTCGATATGATTAATAGATTCAGTAATACATGAATTGCTATTAATTCAATGTGTCATTGTGTATTAATTCCTTAATAACATATTTTATTAACTAATAGTGTAAATTAATGTGTTAATTACCACAATTAGTCAAAGCTATGCACTTCAACTTCCAGTTGTCTGCTTTAATTAATCATTAGCTAATGATTTGCAAAGGTATCATTATGTTATGACTTTACTTGTTGAGGCACATCATTATTAACTAGTCATTTAGTAATTGTAGTAATTTACACATGAATTTGCACTAACAATGAAGTAATTAATCATGTATTAATGCATATTAGTGTACCTGTATTATCTGCAAGTTGAAATACAAGGCTTTGGCTCATTCTGGTAATTAACATATTAATTAACACTATTAGTTTAAAAAATGAGTTATTAGGGAATTAATTCACAATTAAATATTTAATTAATAACAATTAATGTATGAACTAATAAATTAACCATACAGACTCTTAATTAGTTCCTAATGTGGTAATCATTAATGAATAGCTTAGATAATCATTAGTTACACATTAATTCAGTATTATCTGTGCATTAGTTAAGCATGAATTAATGCTTATTAGTGCACCCGTATTGTAAAGTGTTACCGTTTGACTAAGCTGTGAAAGCATGTGTGGTTATTAACTGCACACAACATTATATATTTAAAAGCTAGATAGCACATTAGACATATCAAAATAAGGGGATTAAAATAAGTTGTACAATGTTATCATCAAATATAGTATGGCCTTTTAACAGATTACATAAATCATATAGAGAACCTTTTGTACAACATTGTAAGTTTGAAGTGAGTTTGAAACTGGCTCAAGTTTCCTGATCTTGTTCCTTCCCCAGTTCTCCTAATAGTCTTCTCTAACTAATAAAACTGTCCAAAATAATGAAAGTTAAACTAATGAATACATGAAAGTAATGTTACCAAATTATTTTTTCCTATAAGACTGATGGAGAATCTAATAGGCAAATATTTTAGAATAACTGCAAATTTTGTTGCTTGCGTATGAACTGATGTTAAGTTAGTTAAGTAAATGTCTGCCCAGTCTCAGTGTTTGTAGGGTTGGGTCTGGCTTTAGAGCAAGGCAAAAACATACAAAGCACTTGCCTTTATTCTAGAGGCACATTCAAAAGCACCACAACCTGTTTCGCTGCTGTAATCCCTTTGGCTAGAGTTGCAGACACTGGCACTGAATAGGCCTCTCTTGTGAGGGAAGGTTGCTGCATCTTCCCCAACCAGTCCATGTACGCTAACACCCCTGCACTGAGCTGTTGTGGTGTACCTGTCCTCATGTCATGCAGAGAGCAACCCAAATCTACCAAAAACCCATCTGGCTAAGAGGAACCATGCATTTTAAAGTGCTCTTTGACATGATAGCTGTGCAATATACATGTATTTTTTAGATATTGAATTGTTTTCAGGCGTCATTCAGAACATGGTGTTATGAATGCATTATGCACTATTATACTACATTATTTTCCCTGAGTCACTCAGCCTAAATAAGTTAGTAGCTTAAAGCAATAGCTCATCATTTCAAACTAAGCACACTTTAACACATGTACACAGCAAATCCAGGAATGAATAAAGCAAAATGATTGAAGGTGATCGAGGACTTTCAGTTATGACCCAGGATATTAACTTGATCGAACCAAAACATTCATAATGAATCCACACATGCATCTCATTTTCTTTTTCTCTTGCAACTAACCATTTCAGTTTTTACTTCAATTTAGTTTCATTTATTGTGTTGTACTTATTGTGTTCACTTTAGCTGAAAAACTATTAAAAACCTTGGTAACTGTAATGGCTTTCCCATAAGCCAGGGTAAGGTGATAAGATGCTCTTGTTTACTGGCCATTTATTGAAAAATATCACTTACATTAAAAGCATGTGGCACTGTGGTAAGAACCATGTTCCTGCCACATGTCCCTCACGAATACAACCCAAGTTTAAATAGCATGTGATGTGACCCTACAGTGCACACCGCCATCTGGGTGAACAATCATTACGTTTGGCTCCTACAGTTACACTTTATTTTACAATGTCCTTCTTTCACATATTACATGATGTAGTTATTATAGTGATAACTATAAAATGGACTATGCATAATAACATGCTTTAAGAACCAATTTGTCCCCCTGTCAATCAAAGCCATACATCCAGAGAGAGAGAGAGTGTGTGTGTGTGTGAGTGTGTATGGGTAACATGTATGTACTGTTTGTGTGTATTACAATGTTACTTGTATTTAATCAGCATACTGTATGTCCAAAACCAATTTCCTTTCTTATCTTATTATGCAACTATCCCTAAACCAAACCCAGTAACACTTTATTTTACACTGTACTTGTTACATATGTTACATGTATTACCATAACAGTAAATTATGCATCATTGCATGCAACTAAACCTAAACCAAACCCTAATCCTACCCTAACCCTATAGTAAATAGTTAATTAATTAATTACTCAGTAGGCCTACTTAAATACGATTACACAGACACCTTAAAATAAAGTGTAACCAAAATTCCTTAATTAGACCTATTCCTTAATAATTACTGATGTCAAGACTGTAAGGAATGAATCTATACATTATTTTACATACATTAAATTATTTAAATAAAAAATAATAATTAGCTATACCTACCATTAGCCTATATTTAGAATAAACAACACATGTAACGTGTTCAACATGACCAATTAACAAAAATACAACCTCCTCCACTAGTATTGGTTCAGGCTGTGGCTCGCACTCAATGCATTTCATGTAGTTCACTGCTGGCACCACTAGAGCCTGCAAAATGACAGCTCACCGATCGCAGGATTTCTGTCCAGCATGAGGGATCTGCTTCTACAATGAGAGTCTGTATTCAGCTGCGGTAAGCCAGCCTCTCCGGACTAACCCCGTACGCGCTCGGACTGCTGACAATCCACTGCGCGGATAACGCGCCGCGACTCCAGTTTTATTCAGTTTGTTTGGGAATCACCACAAGGAACCGTAAACAGCGTTTAAGATGACAATGATGGAAAGTGCCTGTACACTGCCTGAACTCCCCCGAAGTTCGCGGATTTCTATCGTCAAGTAAATGGATTATAATTGCGTGTATTATTTGTCCGCTGACACGGGACCTTTGGTTATAGCCATATGTGCGTTCAGGTATGACCGATATCCGCATGCATTAGCGTGATTGGGTTTATTGCTTGGTGCAGGACTGTGTAAAAAGCCTTCCGACTGCACATTGTGGATTTGTTACACCTTGCATGGAGTTGAATGAGCGCACGCTGCGATTTTGGCACCCTGGCAAGCTGCAATACACCCCCGTGCACTGGAAAGTAGCCTAATAATGCATAGTGTTTTATTAATGTTGCGATATAGCCTACTGCAGACACTCTAAAAAATGTGTGGATCCTGAAGTCACGTTTGATTTTCATATGCACTTTGTTCGTTTTTGTTGTCTGTGTGACATCAGTAATAATGAGTAGACACGTTAGTATAGCCTTGTTTCGAGTAGCCTACTTCCATTGAGTTTGTATACCCAGATAACAAATGTGTTTTCTACACGTTTCCCAAACATTTCATTTTTGAACGTCGATATATTTACGTAAGGTTAAAAAAAACAATACAGCGCAAATATCAACCGTGTAACAAAATTAACACGACGTAGCCAGCTTACCTGGAAACTTAACTTGCAAAAACTTTTTAAAATCTTTATTTTTGACATTTACTTTTAAACAAAAAAAACTCAACACTTCCTAATAAGTTCTTCATCAGGTTACTATAATGTTTAAATTATGTTTAAATAACAGTTCAAACCTCGTTGCACTGTAACGTTTTTTCTTTAACCAAGCACAAGCATTGGGACGTTATGTATTTTTTTAAAACGTTAACATTGCCATTTTTAACATTGAGAAATAATATTTTTCATTATTATTAAAAACTCTAATGCTAAAACTCAAAAAAGTCAATTACACTGCGCACACTCACACCAGAAGCTGACTTTTCTAGTTATTTGAAAACGTTATGTGCACTGACTTTATTTTACAAATAAATCGAAAAAACCCCAACATTATAGTAATTAAAACCCCATAGGAAAATCTCGAAGCAGGTCATACCTGCACCACAAAGTGCCACATGCATTTTGGAGCGTCTTTGCTTGTTTGCAATTCAAGGGTAAATAAATACTCTTCATTAGAATTTACAGCATACTGAAGAAACACTTTTATATAAAGGCTAATGTTTTATGTGTTTGAGGAGCGTAGAAGAGTGTCTTAGGGCCCTATTTTAACGATCTAAGCGCATGGTCTAAACTAAGCATACTGCGCAAGTGCACTTAGGGCGTGTCGGAATCCACCTTTTGCTAGTTTAACATGGGAAAAATGGTCTAAAAGGCTTAACCCTATTCTCTTAATGAGTAAAGGGTGTGTTTTGGGCGTACTGTGTAAAAAAACAATCAAAGTCTCGTCTCCTATTCCCTTGCGGATTCGCTATTTACATGGCGGAATTAGCAAGCGGTAAAAAACTGAAGGCTTCTCTAGCGAGAAAATGGATCTGTTCGTGCGCGAGGTTAAAGAGCGTAAGCAGACCATCTACGGAACAAAGTGAACACGCTTTATGGACCCTCCTATTGGCTCATATTACTAACGCGCTGTTTAAATAATAAAAAAATATTGCGCAGTCTATTTCAGTTGCCTCAAAATAGAAACGCGCCAACAATACGCCTGAACACACCTCACTTTTAGACCAGCAGCCCATGGGTGCACAAATGGGCACAAATGCATTTGCTATTTAAACAACCCGTCCTGCGACAAAATGATAATTGCGTCGGGCTGAAACTAGCAAAAAACACTTGTGTTGCGTCGGGGCCTGCATTGCGGTAAGTGTATGAAAGGGCCCTTAGTCTGGCAATTGTCTTTGAGTCATTGCCAATATCTACTGTCTTAAATAACCTGTGAGTAGCACGTCATCTTTTATAACATGAGATTTTGGCAAAATGACAGAAAAAACTGAGCGCCCACATAGCTATAGTAAACTTTATGCCCCGTAAGTTGATTAAAAAATGTACTGCCTCAGTTGCGACCGTTCTAATGAGGTACAAAACACGACATTCGCTGGTCAAAATCTTCGTAACTTCATTTGAGCTTGCTTTTGGTAAAATGTTAATGATATAATGACACATGCAAGTGTCGGACCATATATAAAGTCACAATATCAACTTGTAAAAATAGTGTTTATTTATTAGAAAAATATTTTTTTCCCCGTCATGTCCTGAAAAGTAGCATTTCATTTAGATCAATTTAGATAAAAATTAACAGCATATTTGAATGGCAGAAGTGGCTTATATGAAATGATCACAGTGTTATTCCTGATAACACTTATAGTATCTAAAGTTTTTTTTTTCTGAATATGTGGATGCCTGGGTAAATTTGAGCATATTTGATTAATTCAGCATAAACATTCACAAAGCGAAAAAAAAAAAGCGTATCATTGCCCAAATGAATGATTATTTAATCAAAAATAAATAATTGTGTTGTTTTTCTGGTTGTGACCATTAAAGGGTTAACGGAGAGGGGAACTAAAGGTCATGGGAGAGGCAGCTCCGACTCAGGCCACCCCAAGTGGTTTTGCACCCATGTTGGGCGTCGGGATGGGAGGATCAATCACACCAATCGCCACTTCAAGAGGATCGGCCGTTCCTCAGCTCCACAGTGCCATAGTGGAGCGCTTGCGTGCCAGAATAGAACTTTGTCGGCGGCATCACTCCACTTGTGAGGACCGCTATGAGCGTGGTCTGGCGGAAAATTCGGACCGGGAACACGAGAACACACTGCAGCTCTTAAACATCGTCCATCAGGGCCCCGGGAACAGGAAGACCAAGGGCAGTAGGTCGGCCTCTCAGCATCCTCCTGAATACAGCAGAGTGAATGGGGAACATAAAGGCCACAGCTCGTCGGAGGCAGAATCCAAAATTTCTTCGCAAATAGCAGTAAGTTTTACGGGTTGTATTAACTACGCCCACGCCATAAATCTTATAATCTGTCTAATACACATAGGGACACGTGTCAGACCAATTCCCCAGAGTATGACATCAACACACTGATATGATGTGATTACTGTGGGTGTGTGAGGGAGAGATGGGGGTGTCTGTTTAATTAAAAAGGGCCCTGCAGGCAGGCACATGATTCTTTTAAAGGTCTTTTCAAAATATAACAAAACAAAATATAACTTAAAAGGAGGTGGTGATTCGGTGACATCTGAGTTAGTTTTTTTAACAATGCACATTTCCATGCAGTCCCTCCTATAAGTATTTTTCATTCTTAAGTCACATTGGAAAATGGTTGAATGCCATTGTATTATAATAATCAGACCACATGGGATTCAATCCAAAGAAAGATAGAATATACACTTGGCCACTTTATTAGGTACATCTTGCTAGCACCGGGCTGGAACTGCTTTTGCCTCCAGAACGGCCTTAAATCTTCACAGCATAGATTCAACAAGGAGCTGGAAACATTTCTCAGAGACTCTGATCCATATTGACAGGATAACATCCCACAGTTGCTGCAGATTTGTCCCGTTCCACTACATCTCAAAAGTGCTCTAATGGATTGAGATCTGGTGTCTGTGGAGAGTTTAGTGAACTCATTGTCAGGTTCAAGAAGCCAGTTTGAGATGAGTTGAGCTTTGTGACACGGCGTGTTCTCCTGCTGGAAGAGGCCATCAGAAGATGATACACCGTGTTCATAAAGTTATGGACATGATCAGCAATAATACTCAGGTTGGCTGTGGTGTTTAAACGATGCTCAATTGGTACTAAGGGGCCCAAAGTGTGTGAAGAAAAATATCCCACACACACATTACACCAAGAGCCTGAACCGCTGATACAAGGCAGGATGAATCCATGCTTTCATGTTGTTTATGCCGATTATTATGAACCAGAAATCCAGACTCCTCAGACCCATTTCCAATCTTCAATTGTCTAATCTTGGTGAGTCGGTGTGTATTGTAGCCTCAGTTTGCTGTTCTCATCTGACAGGAGTGACACCGGCGTGTCTTCTGCTGCTGTTGCTCTTCTGCTTCAAGGTTCGATGTGTTTTCAGAGATGCTCTTCTGCAGATCTCAGTTAAAACACATGTTTTTTTGAGTTACTGTTGCCTTTCAATCAGCTTGAACCAGTCTGGCTTTTCTCCTCTGACCTCTGGCATCAACAAGCCATTTTCGCCAGTCACTGAATATTTTCTTTTTCTCTGCCCATTCTCTGTAAACCCTAGAGACGGTTCATGATTGTGTCTGAAAATCCCAGTAGATCAGCAGTTTCTGAAATACTCAGACCAGCCAATATCAATGTCAGCCAATGTCTGCCACATTCAAAGCCACTTAAATCACTTTCTAATGCTCAGTTTGAACTTCAGCAGATCGTCTGGATCATGTCTACATACTGTAGCATGTTACATGTGATTGGCTTATTAGATATTCACGTTAACGAGCTGTTGAACAGGTGTATCTAATAAAGTGGCCGGTGAGTGTACACACAGTTAAACATGTTAAACATGATTTAGTTGCAGATGCCACTTAGTTTGATATCTGTTGAAATTCGTTTTTAATAGTTGCTTAAGTTTTCAAATACTTTATGACGCCATTGTGCACAAATGTGTGCATAGTGTCACAAGTATTGATCATTTAGGGAAAATATCTCTTAGTACAGAAATTAAAAACCATATGTTTTGTACTGTAGCTTTTATAACAGACAGGAGTACTTGCAGTCAATGGGTCAGTTCTGGTTCTTTGTTCTCCACCCTTATATTTGCCTCTTGGGACAGTCTCTCTACTCATGGACACGCTTCACTGATTGTGTAATTCTGAAATCTTCTGTTGATAACACATTTTGTTGAATTAACATTTTTGTTTTAGGAAAATATCAAGATAAAATATGATTTGTATGGTTTGTGTTCTAGAATTTGTGAACAGTGTTTCTTTATCTAGAGATAGTTAAGGTCTAGTTTAGGTGTATTCTTGCAAAATGCATAATCATAAAGTGAGGCATCAGGTTTCCTTTCAACAGCTTTGCAGATTTTGCAAGTGTACACCAATACATATCCAGCAAACTTAACAAAGACAGAAATTGCTGGATGGTGAAATCTCACAAACACAGCGTGAATGGTCTCGTGTTTTGTTCCACACCATGCATTGTCGTACTCTATTATCAAAGGTTTGATAAATTGCTCTATTAAGCACCTTCTTGAATGATGGTTTTCCTATAAAGCCATTTGAAGCATGCAGCCTATAAACGGTTAGAGCCATTCAATAGCACACATGTCCTGGTTGTGTTTACTCAAAGTCAAACAGGCCTTGAACACGATCGTCAGAGGACTGCCCAGTAACTAAGTGTTATGGGCTTACGGATGAATTTGTTTTTTTCCTAAATTCAGTGTAATGACCGACTTGGGAACAGAGGGTGATTGTGGAATATCCTCTCATGGAAGAGAAAGTGGGATATTATGAATGCTCCGTTTGCTTATCTAAAGAGATCAACCTTCAATTTACCCAGTTTATATCAATTAAACAATCTTCAATTATTTTGTTTTATAATGCATGGTTCATGCAGTACTTCCCAATGAAGTGAAAAAAAAAGAAGTAGCCTACACTTAATTGAATTGAATATGCAATTGTAGTGTACTTCAAATCTTAAAAGTAGCTACATTTGTCAAAACTGTACTTGAAGATAACATAATATTAATTAAATAAAAAGTATTATTAAGTATTATTATTATTTCCGTTATAAGTATAGAAAATTCTGTCTTCAATTTCTTGTCTTCATGTCGTTCCAAACCTGTTTGACTTTCTTTCCTTTATGGAACACAAAAGAAGATGTTTTGAAACATGTTTCAGTATTTTTTTTATTTTGGACCATACAGTGAAAGTCAATGGAGTCTTTGACTATAACTTTTTGGACAAAAACATTTCAAAATATCTTCTTTTGTGTTTCGCTGAAGAAAAAGCCATTTGAGAATGGTGTTATGATGAGTAAATTATAAATTTTTGTTTTTGTTTTTTTGAATGAACTATCCCATAAGCAACGCTTATGGAAAGACTAAACCTTCAATCTAATGTTTAAGGATGTAGCAATATAATTGGACATAATTAAGCATGACAGGCAGGCATTAGGAATAATAGGTGGAAGAAGGAAATGTCAAAGTGTTTCCTGGTGTTTCTTGGCTGTAGTGCTTTAGGAGTGGAAGCTGAAGGTGGCCCAGGCTTAGTTTCACTCCACCTGAATGTGGAACAATCAGTCCAGCTCCTTAGAGGCCACTTTAAGCCCAGCACAACTGTCCGTGCCTTACTTGAGCTGAAATGAATGGGTCCCTGGGCAGTTCGTCCCATGGTTGATATTCATGTTGACATGAAAATGAAGTAGTCTTACATGAGCACACTCATGTTTTGGCAGAAAGCCTAAGTAACTGGTTAAAAAGTCAAGGAGAGAGTCGCATTTTTGACTGTCAGCAACTGTAAAGTGTGGTCCAGTTTGCAGTTTATTCTTACAAAAGGTTTTTTTGAGGGACATATGAAGTTTGGGGCATGTTTTGTGAACTTCTTGAGTATCATTTAAAGATCTGATACCACTAACCTGGCAATCTTAGACCAAACCAATGGGACAATTCTCAACAGTAATGATTTTATCAAACTGGTACTGACTGTTTTCAGGCGGACTGGTGCGTTCTGTTCTGCCTTTTAGACATTTTATTAGTCCTGTCAGATTGAAACTGCTGGTTTTCAGTCGGCTCTTGTCATTTTTTTTGTGTGCAATATGCATCCGACAGCCGTCAAACAGATTGAGGGTGATCTGTGGGCATGCCGTTTAAGGCTATAAGTCTGAGGATTTTGAAGGATGGAGGGCTTGTTGATCATTTTAATCTGAGCTATGTGCAGCAACAAATGCATTATAAGCATTGAGTGTGAGTGCGACCTATAAAACAAGATAAAAATGCACAAGTGGAAGGCTGAGGCATAAATAGAAGAGAACTTTAGGAAACTCGAGTAGGATTGCTCATGCTGCTTAAATCAAAAGCATTCCCTCTTCATCTGTGCTGGCTCTCCTAGAGGTTTCTTTGTGAGGTGCGCCTTGTGTATACCTCATGTTTTATTCACAGTCTGAGACATGACTGGGGCTTTGAAGAGTGCTGAAACCATTCGGCGTATACATCCCTACCTCCATTTGCACAACACGATGGCTGCAGGCAGAAATCGCCCCCTCAGCGTCTAGCATCAGCCTCTGTTACCCAAATTCTGAGTTCTAGTCTATTATAGTTAACCGAGGGAAATGATGAAACTGAAAGAACTTTCTAGGCCGTTACATACGAGTTCGAAACATGCCCTGAGAAGCATGCGTATGTGACAATGTAGTTTGTGGGTTCATTAAAGTTTCTGTCATGTTTTAATGGGCTCTATTAATCCTGAGGTACAGTGTATCTGTCCTGGATCGGGAATGTGTGCTTGATTGTTGTCTCCAACTCTTTCAACTGCATGTTTGTCTTTGCCGTTTGGAAGCAGCAAAGATGTGGATAGAGTACTTTTGAAGTCTGCATATTGACTATATTCCTTTTTTTGGGCAATTATAAAACAAGCTGGAGACGTTCGAAATGCGTTTTGCTTATTTTACGGAATGACGTTTTTTTCGTTTATTACTCAGAGACGGACATGTTTGGCTTGTCAAACATGTTACATTTAAATTAAAACTAATTTAAAATTAGTCTTAGATGACTTTTAAATGTCCAAATACTTTGTGGGGCCACAGAATATAAAGCAAGAGTGGCGAAGAGTTGTGTTGACTTTCTTTGCACCAGCCTGTGGTTGGGAATTGATAGACACGTTCATGTTTAGCACAGAGAACGCACACAGACCACTCCGATATCTGTCAGGTTTTTCCTGCCCGACTAAATAGAACAGAGCAGAAAAAAAGAGGAGAAGCGTTAGAGGGGGTGGCTCGCT